AGAGGCGGCAGGAGCAGCCGGAGATGGCGCGATCCTGGTGTGAGAAGGGGTGTGAAGCGGGCGCAAACTCCGTGCAAAAAAAAGCCCACAACAGAAAAGGAGGTGGGGAAAAAAATGATAAAGCAAAACACGCACGTCACTTGGTCCTTGGTGAAGCTGGGCACATCGCGAGCGGCCATCCGCTGGGCCTCAGCTCCGGCGCGTGCATTTAGCGATACAAATGAAGTGGTCAGGGAGGGAGCGGCGTTGATCACCAGGAACTCCACCTCCTCTTTAACCTGGGATCATGGAGGGGGGGAGGGGGCGGTTCCAAGCCATCATGGTGACATAGATGGAAGGGAAAAGATAGCCGACGAGGCCGCCGTGGTGGTGTGTTAGGCCGCAATGTGCAGGGACATAGCAAGAGAGAGAGAGAGAGAGAGAGAGAAAGAGCGAAAGCCCCTCGTGCCACATGGACGCCGGGGCGGGCCGCGGAGGGGAAGGCACAGCAGCGACATTGCCATCCACCAGGACATGGACGCACCTCCAGATCGATGGACACACGGCCACCGAAGCGCAGCGACTCGAAGTCCGTGTACAGGTCAAGGGCATAGTGCTCGGAGGACACCGCCTCCGGCAGGCGAGGCTTGGCCCAATACTGGTCGGGGTTGAGGCCCTCGCTCGGGCCGGAGCCGCTGTTGTCGGGACCGGGCCGGGGGGTGCTCGGGCCGCGCGAAGCCACCGCCATGGCCGTGATGAACAGAGCCAAGCCGACCACGGCAGCGATGTGCCACACGCGCAAGACGAAGCCCGAGGCCGTTTGACGCCTGCGGCCGGGCGGCTCGCCGCCCGGGCCATCACGCACCGGGGCATAGCCCGTCGGTGAGAGGGCGGCATTGTTGGAATGGTTGCGTGCTCCAACCGGAGGGCGCTGCACGAAGGGGCCGTTTGAGGCGCCGAGCAGCAGCAGCGGCTTGGTCCAGAAGGGAGCAGCTGCCGGGGGGGGGGGGGGGGGGGGGGGGGGGGGGGGGGGGGGGGGGGGGGGGGGGGGGGGGGGGGGGGGGGGGGGGAGGGCAAATGGCGGAACATGTGTCAGTTGTCAGGCAGGCCGGCCGGGTGGAAGGCACGAAGTGAGGAAGGGAGAAGACAGGGGAGAAGAAGCAGGAGGAGAAGGAAAGGGACTCCTCGACCTGGTCCTTCACGAGCTCCCGGACTCGAGCATATGCGAGGGGCGAGGGGACAAAAGAAGGACTCGCATGCTCTCTCTCGCGCGCGCTCTCTCTCTCACACACACACACACACAGACACCCATGTGAGGACACTCTCGCAACTGCTTCGAAGACCGGGAAAAGGAAGTGACAACCCTCCAGGAAATGACCCGGCCCCGGTGCCCTGGGGGGGGGGGGAAAGACGCAGGCACCAGGGCACCCTCCTACCTCCCCTCCCCCTCCCCCCCCCCCCCCCCCCCCCCCCCCCCTTCTCCCCTGCCAGTGGCTCTCACACAAACACACACCATCTAGGATTGTGACCACCGAGTCGAAAGTGGGCTCTTGGCTGGGCTTCAACCCGGCCTCCGAGTCGCCATCGGCCAGGTTGGACATGGGCCATGACTCGCCGGGCGATCCATCACCAGGAGGATGGCCGCCAGGGGGCCTGGCAGGACCAGCGGCCCCGGCGAATGCGCCGGAAGGGGAGCCCCCATTGAATCGATGGACCCGGCCGGCGTCCGCCATCATGACGCCGGGCCCGGGACCAGTCACCCCTCCAGACGGGGGTATTGACAAGGCGCCGGGCCGGTAGGGCCGGAGAAGATCAGGTAACATGGTGGGGGCCGGGGCCACCGGACATCGGATGACGGGCACCGGCCCGGGGCTCGGCTCCCCGAAACGAACTCTCGGTCTCCCAGACACTAAGGAAGGGCCTGCCGAGGCCTCGCCTGAGGGGGCGGCCTGACTGCTCGCATGGACACCGACATGGACCATCGGCGAGGGGAGCGTACCGCCCGGGTGGCCGTAATTGCCAGTTCCACTGTGCCCCGATCCACGGAAGGCATTGGCCCCGTTCGGAGAAGAGGTGGGGCTGCGGACGGGGCCGCCGCTGCCGCCGGGGCCGACCGCGTCGAAGCTGGTCAGCTCCACGGCCGAGCCCATGATCTCGGCATTGTAGTTGGTTGACAGCTCGAAGCCGATGTCATCGAAGCCATCGGCATGGTCGAGGTCCACATCGTAGCCGCCCCCGAGGGCGGCATTATGGTCCCCGAACTCCAGGTGGTTGGTGGGGTGGCTGTGAAAGGGAGTCTGGTCAAGCTCCTGTCGGGCGGCGGCGGTGGCCGGGTCATACGCGAAGTGCGCGGCGGAGGAGGCTGGCCGGAGCTGGCCGGTCCCCGAGGCGTCGGGCTCGCCGTCCGCGGGCGGCATCGTCCGAAACGCGCGAGGCAGCAGGCGGTGTGTGGTTTGTGTTGTTGGGTGGTGGGTGTGGGGGGTGTGGGTTTTTAGAGGTCGGCGAAAGAGGAGAGGGGTGCGTGCGCACACACACACACACACACACACGCAAGGGTGTCAAAAGGGGGGATATGGGAGTGCGAAGAGAAGGGCGGGTCTGTGTAGAATGTGTTTCAGGGCCGCCTGGCATGGGCCGTGTGTGCAGGTGGCTGAAAAGAAAAGGCGCGGCGATCTTGGGACCGGCGGGCCGGGCAGTGGCTGCGGCCCGCAGTTCCCCCGCAGGGAGACCCGCCGGGGAGAGGTCCCGGCCCAAAGTGGCAGGGGATCTGCCAGGCCCTGACAGATGTAGACGGCGGCCACCCCCAAGGGAG